CTACGCAATGCAGTTGTGTTCGTTTTTATTTGAAACTTCGTTGAGAATATACTTTCGTTACCAATAAAATAAAAACAAATGTATTTGAAAAATGACACTGGGCGATATTGTAATGAAATTGCAGGCGGTCTACTTTTTAATTCAACAAGAATTATTAATTATTATTGTTAACTCTGCAATAGTTTCTTTCGTCTTAGGTGGCCCAACTGACGGTGTTGAAAGTCTGCGTAGTTAGATACTTCAATGATGAAAATGGAAGTCCCCAAAAAATATTTGATGATTATTTTTTGAAATTCTGAGCCCAAAATAAGTGCCCACCAGCCGTGAAATCCCCAGGGAGATTTTCGGATGGCTAATTTACGACGGCATATAAAGAAAGTATTATTATGGATATCTCGCGTATATTGCCGATGTTTTATACTGTTTGTAGTTTGAATATGAAAGTGGTTGTTGATGCCCCTCCTATTATTCGACGTCGTTGACAATGCGATAACAATGCCACTCGCACTGTGCACATTTTAGCACTAGATCTAGTGCCATTTTAGCACTAGATCTAGTACTTTTTCGGATTAGTGCTACTAGCACTAACCACTCGCACTACGCCCATTTCGACACATTTACATACATGAATCCATGGTCAACTTAATGGCATTCCCAATTCACACTCACCTTGGCGTAGCAACAGTTCCAATACCATGAGTATGACCAGAACCGACACCAATACAAGACACAGTTCCAGTTGACACGTCCATTTTCCATAACCTGATTGTGTTATCCTGAAAATAGAAAACAAGCATATCAATACATAATTAAAAATACTTTGTATCAACACTGAATACTTAACAGAATGATTTTCATTGATCCACTCTATATAACAGCTCTTGATAAAAGAATTCCAGTCAGATCATGAAGCAGAAAATATTTTATAACAAAATGCAAAAGAGACTAGTTTGTACTGCTTGTTTCAAAATTACTTTTCGCTTAATGGAATTAAGGATGATTTTAAAAGAATACAATCATAGATTTAAATCAGATCGAAAAATACAGCTTTTGAAAAACTTTATCAACTGTATAATTCGCATGTTATATTTCCATATCTTGTACTAGTAGAATGTTATCCCACAATATCCCAAATAAAAGAAAAAATACATTGGAATATTTTTTCAATTACAAATCCACTGTTCAAGTTATTTCTTGAGCCTAGCCTAGATGGTTATTTGCATGAAATTTATAGCTTTCTAAAATCTTTGAAATACCTTTGAACTGCTGACCATCAACAAGCCATCCTTGAAAACGTCCAACGACAACACAATATCTGAAAACAAAAATTAGCATAGAATTAATTCGGTACAGAGATCGCCTCAAATTCGGTTCCTTGTCATCAGCAAGTCAAAAGGTTGTCTACAGATGCGAAATACCATTAACTGTTAAACGCCTTAATTTCTCAAGAGGCGAGTTTTCGCAAGTTGGTGAAAATTGCTAAATATCGGTAAAAATCATGCTGGGTTCTCAGAAAGACGAGAAGCCGAGGGGACTTTTGTGAAATTTGTTCCCTCAAACACCATTAAATCATTAATTTGTGAAAACTAGCTAACAGCAATAATTTAATGGGTTAGAGACTTAATTGGAAAATTATGCTGGAGTATATAATAATATACCAGATTATTGACTCAAATGGTCATGTGACCAATAAGATAATGCATTTCAGTGCAGCTTTTAGGCAAGGTCAGGCATGGATTAGGGTTAAACTTAATAGTCAGTTTTAATACTTCACTAGTACACTGGAGATATTTTTAAAAAAACACTGTATAAGTACTGGTTTATTAGTCCAAATATTATTTCTTTAGATATCAAATTAATAGAAGATGCATGGGGGTGATGGTACCCTTAACCACATTGCCCAACCTGACCATTAGAGGGCAGTTGGGCTCTGTTCCCATTAGAATCAATGTAAAGATTGGGTATATCTAAAAAATTAGGCATAATATTAAAGTGAGATGGCCTATACGTGGAAGTGATTGTCGTCATGGCTACAGGTGTCATCCAAGTGCACTTCAAGCATTCATGCATATGTTAGTTTAATATTTAAATCTGATATGTGGAGGAGCTAATGGAGCATTTCAAACTTGCACTGAATGCCCTAGGAGATGGTTTTCGGCTTTCGCTCCAGTCATTGCATTTATGTGCCTAATGAAACATGAATTCATATACAAAAATCGTTTGAAACGTTCGTACATACATCTAATTGTCCAATTTCGTATAAGTACTCAACCATCATTAATTAGTGTGTATTCCAAAAATTACGATAACACTTTCACTGGTTTAAAGTTCCAATTTTTGTGAGCTATTTATACCATAAATTACTGGACAGTTCCACTGCGGGATATGAACCTGCTGTTAACTAAGGCAACGTTGTGTCGAAAAAAAAACACGTTTACTAGCCAGACTGAAGATTAGTGAAGTACAATCTTGTGTAATGGTTTCAGCCGAACGTAACGTACCGTAATGTAACGTACCGTAATGTAACGTAATGTAATGTAATGGATATAGAAGGATAGAAAACTCTTGTGGATACAGTATAATATAATTATAATTTGTCATTGATAATATTCTTTATATTTAATTCTGATTGTTATTACAGGATTGATATTAACTAGTCCAGTATATTCTATGTATGGTACAACAGTCATCTCTGTCCTCATTAAACATGTGTTTACAGTGGGCGAAACATGTCCACGTATACTTGACAAATTAATTTCAGTTTTTACATTTGTTACTTTTTATCAATGTCCAAAATAGCGGGCAGCAGTGAATTATTACCACTGAACTGTTAATTCACTGTCTGTATTGTATGGGCGTTGAATGAACAGGCTCCTCTAAAATAATTATTTGCCCTATACATGTGATAGGCTCAATCAATATTCCTCTTAATTATCATTCACTGTACACAGCTTTGTAAATAGCCAATAATGACCTACCCGAGTGTCCAGTCAAAATCTGACAATTCTGAGTTGAGAGTTCAATGATGCGAATCTGCTCACTGTTGGTTGCCACGGCGATATGAGTTTCTTTTTCACCCATCAATTTCACATCAAGGACTTCATCATTGTAACCGACAAACTGTAGAGACATGGGTTAAATACTGAGCGGCATGTAACAACACAATGTAGTAAAATCAAAAGCGAATACAGATAAGGACCGCCAAGGGCCTTGACACACAATTACTTTGAAGCTGAATAACTTTTAAATGTATACAAGATCATGCATGTAGTTCTACTTTGGCAATCGTGTTCAACTCTTTTTCTCTCTGTCTGAATAATTTCAATTAGAGTGAGTATATTCATTTGAGGCATGCAGTATAATACTCAAATACAATTTAAAATGACTACTGGTTACCATGAAGACAATAGATGGAGATTGTGATTGGTGTAATTAAACGTAAACAGTCACTAATTTTTCAGGGTATTCAAACACTTGTAAATCTCCAAAGTTTAATAGAAGTACCAATGCAAGCAGAATAACAAGTTGTCAGCATTTTCATGTATTTTCGATAGATTATACTTAAATGCTGGTTTGGTTGATGCATCATGTATGTGCAAGATCTGTGTTGGTTAACATCAATTTTACCAGAGGTACATTACTTGGGGTTTGCAACTACGATACCAAGATCCCGTTACAATCTCGCTCTCGCATAAGCGTTCCAACTCAGAAAAATGTGAATGCGCATGCCCGAGGTAACTAGAATACTGGGATGTCCAGGTGGATCAAAATAGCTGCTCACGATATGACGGATTACAATAACTATATTTTATGTACATATTCGGTGTATTATATTTTTTTACTATGAATGTGGTAATACGTGTTTTATTGTTTTATTACAAACCGCCTATGTCATGTCAGAAGGTCGTAGCATTCATCTCACTATCTACGAGATGAGACTTGAATGGGATCTTGACATGATGTCACTGTACAGTACTATGCTCGTTGCAAACCCCAAGTAATGTAATGTACCTCTGATTTTACACAATACATTGAACTCTGCTACAGGCAAATGTGAATGTTAAGTTTTATCTGGTCTTGATGTGCGATATCTTTGAATTCTAGAAATATTCGATAATAAATTTCAATCACAACAACTACCTAGTCAAATATTTGTCTAATTTTTTTGTACGCATTGATCTGTTAAAAAATCAGAGTCACTATCTTTGTTCATAAGGGAGCTGTACTTCATGCATGCCTAGCGTGATCACTGCCATTTTTCAACCAGAAGAATTTACCGGTACAACTTGGACTAAGATGCTGGCATATGTGCAAGCTCCACCTCAATACCGATAGAAAAAGCATATATACGAAACTTAAGTTACTAGAGTTTGTTTGAAACTGACCTGCTTGACTAGGTTGAAATCATCAATATTGTAAAAGACGATATTATGATCATACGAGACAACACAGAGGACATTCAATGCATCACATCGATGTAGCTGGACAATATTACCAGCTGGGTCTTGTTCATCACTCGTCTTCTTGCTAGGTGGTTTTTGTGTTATACTATTGGTTTGTGTGAACACACAGTTGCCAGTACCTGCGTTCCACACCCTGAAAAGACCTAGTAAATGAATAAATATCGAGTAAATTGAAATCCTAGCATAAAATATATATTTCATATTACTTACTGTGTAGGGATTAATTATTAACTGGTTTTTTTAAAACTTTTTTCACTAAATGCGTTACTGTAAAATACTTTATTTTAGCTGTGATTAATTTTCACAGAAAAAACTTGATAGATGTTTTGTATGAAGTTTATTTTTACTGATTTTTGAGAAGTTGAATATAGAAAACAAGCAGCCTGTCGGCTGAGATAGCTCCGCTGTTAGCAATGCACATGGCAATTAAAGAACAGAAGATATCATTAGAAAATGAACAAATCTGAAAGAGGTCCATATGTAGTACCTATATGTATATTATATCAAAGCAATTGGACTTGCGGTTTTCAACAAGAAGTCGAAAATATCACTTTTTACCAAAAATTACAAAAATATTCATCAAAATTAGAGAATTAAAGATATCATCATGAAATGAACAAATCTGAGAGAGGTCCACATGTAGTACCTATATATGTAATATCAAAGCAATTGGACTTGTGGTTTTTAACAAGAAGTTGAAAATATCACTTTTTACCCAAAATGACAAAAATATTCACCAAAATTAGAGAATTGAAGATATCATCATGAAATGAACAAATCTGAGAGAGGTCTACCCAAAGTACATATACACCAAGTATCAAAGCATTCAGGCTTGTAGTTTTCAAGAAGAAGTCGAAAAAGTAAAACATTGACACGGACGACGACGATGGACAATCACTCATATGATAAGCTCCGCTCGACAAAGTCGACAGCGGAGCTAAAAAAGGTATATTTTGCTGGAATTTATTTTCACTGAATCATCCCTTCAGCAAAAATATTGAAAATAAAGTATTTTACAGTAAATTAAAACCCAGTGAATATTCAAATTGAATAATATATTGATCGTTTCCTTAACATTTCAGTGAATTTAAACCTGGTGAATATCCCTGCAAATTCAGTTCCACAAAAGTTGAATTCGGTTAATATTTCCCCTTCTACAGTAAGCCAGATGTTTGCTAGATCTTTAATTTACCTTTCTGTGGGTGATAAATTGTTTTTAAATGATGATCATTATCACAATTAACAGTTTTCAATTAAACTTTGTAGCTAAATATAATTCTGTTGGTGACTGGCGAAGGATTAGGAGAAGTTCAACACTCAAACTTGAATTTAGTCAAAAATAGTATATTTTAACCTTTTCACCACCAATTCCCTCTTTTCATCACAAACTCACAAAATAGTCCTGTTTATAGTCTGCACTTTCCTTCAGAAGATTAAGACAAAAATAACCAATTTTTTGAGTAAAAACTGAAAATTTACAAATTTTGTCTGTTGACTCCAAAATTAGGGTTCATTTCCAGAAATATTGAAAATTATGAGAAAAAACGTACAGAAAAATTTGGGTGAGAATTTCTGGTGGTGAAAAGGTTAACCAAAATCGGTAAACCTAAAAAACTTCAGGAGGTAAGTTCAGTTGGAGTTCCGAGCACATTAATTAAAATGCGGTATTACCTTTACTGCCAGCTGTGATAAAATACAGATTCTTATCATCAACATGGATTTCAGGAAGTAATTTTTTTGTCAATAGAAGAACCCCTTCAACCGTCTGAAATATAATATACCAACCGGAAGACACTTATTAATACCGGTAAATATTGACAGCTGAACAATAATGGATACTCAACACACAATCAGATGAAGTACAGGGAAACAAAACAAATATTTCTCTTTAGTGGAAAATTTGTTAATTTTCAAACTTAAAAATGTTATTTTGAAGGAGAAATTCAAAAACAACTCTGCAATATTGATCAGACGCATACAAGTCATATTTATTTATTGGTCTCACACTATCCTTTATTTTAATTTAAAATATATTAAACACATTCTACCAGTAGTTGTATTTTTGAAAATTCATTATGTTTTTGCAGAAACATTTTTTTTTATTCTATTCACAATATCAGATGTGTTTATTAAAGCTATTTATCCAAAAATAATTGCCAGAAAAATGTAATTTTTGGCAATAAAAAAGAATTGGTAAAACTTTTGGCTTTTTTTTTTTGGCCCTATCTTTTTTTGAAAAAAATTAGTTTTAATTGTCACACATAACACATGAAATTATTACAGTTCACTACGCACCAACATGAAAAACAATTTTGAAACAAATCTGGAATATGTATAATTATTAAATTTTCCCTATATTCATTGCTTCATACACTGCAATAAAAAGTTCATGTCCTAAAAAACTATTTGTATTTTCTAAGTGACAAGTTTTCATAGATGCCAATCAGGAATGATCAAGTAATTTTGGAGCATTAGAATCACTGTAATCACAGAATCTTTCTTAAAAATTCAAATAAGGTCTGCGCAATGTAACAGACCATCTATGTACCTAAACGAAGTTTAATTTAAATGAAACAAGTCATTGAAAATGACACAGTCCCCGTTAAATTAAGTTCTCTTTGTGCTCGTCATATTAAAGCGGAGGGGTTGTCGCGAGCATGTCCTTGAAACTTGAGTTCCAAGTGACGTATACAACAGATTGTTTATTAACATCAAAACACGTGTTCAGTGTAGTAGTAATATGGCCAAAAATAAAAACAGCCGTTATTCGACCATCTTTGATCTGATTATGAAACACACTGATATGTATGATGTATTTGCCAAATACAAATGAAAATGGTACATAAAATGTGGAAATATAGTAGTAAGGCAAAAAGTCAGATGGCTGTCAATCGGCCATCCTTGACCAGATTTTGAAACAAATTGTCATGGACATGCATCCTAACATGTATAAAGATACCGCATAAAAAAACAAGATGCCTACCAGTCAACCATCTTTGATCCAATTGCGAAATAAATCGTCATGAACATGTATCCTAACATGTAAAATCTATGTACCAAGTTTGAATGACAACTGACAAAGCATGTCCAAAATACAACATTTTCAAAAAACAAAATGGCTGCCAGTCGGCCATCTTTGATCAAATTGTGAAATAAATCGTCATGGACATGTATCCTAACATGTATAATCTATGTACCAAGTTTGAATGAAAACGGACAAAACATTTTCAAAAAACAAGATGACTGCCAGTCGGCCATTTTAAATCGAATCACTAAACCACTGCATGTGCATATGTTCTACATAAGGTACTAGGCACATGCAAAGAATGAACGGAATCGGTCCACAGGATTCTGAAATATGACTCTGGACAGACTGACGCACGGACAGACGGATAGACTCAGGAACTCACGGACGGTCGGGGACATATATCCTGACATGTATGATCTATGTACTAATTTGAGTGAAAACTGACAAAACATGTCCAAAATACGACATTTTCAAAAAACAAGATGGCTGCCAGTCGGCCATCTTTGATCCAATTTTGAAATAAATCGTCATGGACATGTATCCTAACATGTATAATCTATGTACCAAGTTTGAATGAAAATGGACAAAGCATGTCCAAAATAAAACATTTTCAAATAACAAGATGGCTGCCAGTCGGCCATTTTGAATCGAATCGCTAAACCATGTCAGGAATATGATTTTTTAACATTAAAATGATTGACATTTGTATCTGATCGTCAAACAAGTACTTGTCCATATTGAGAGATATTGCTCTGGAACAGCATTCAAAATCAGCCATTTTGATAAATG